AGCCCTCGTGTAGCTTTTCGCGAAATTCCAAAAACAAACAAAACAAACAAACTAACCAATATATTGAAGTTACTTAAAGAAGACAATTGCGTTAAGAAATGTGTGCAAATCAGAAGAAATATGCATAAATGGGCTATAAGATTCGATAAGTATGGGGGGGCAGCAGATAAGTTCAGTTTTGCAAATATACCTCTTCATAGTTAGTTCTTCATGCTTCAAAAACTTCCATAGTAAATTCTTATTTTTTTGGTCTTCGATTGTAGACAAATTTCCTATCTTAAGGACCCTTATCGTTTTAGTTTCAAAAATAGAAGTGTAGTTTATATATATATATATAAAGGTACTTAGTAAACTGTAACTTCTGAAATATTTCAAGCGTATTGCACAAACAAAATGTGATCAAGTAATGCAAGAAATAGAACGTGAATTAGATTTCTAGCATACATCATAGGTTCAATTTAATTACCAAACTGAAAAAGTACGGCTATTACCACTTTAATATTACATACAACCACGACGTCGTTAGACTTTTTCCAGTAAGTAATTATAGTGTTCATACATAACAAATTAGACCCCTTGTCATCAACAGAGGATCTTGAGTTAATGAAGGAAAGCATGCCACAGAGGAAAGTAATTAATATTAGAATTGAATGTGGGTTAGTGTAATCCTTAATTATATACCTTTAGTGAATTTCAACTATCTCACAATGTCGTTAGCGTAGTCTCGTTGCAGTACAGGAAACTGTTGGTTATAAGGAGGATGTTACAATGTGTCTTATATATTTGTACATTTCCCGAGGTAAGGAACTAATCTGTTTAAAACATTCTCGTTTACATCAAGCGCACATAGCAAGATGCCTTAAAAATCTCATCAAATCAAGCGATGTAATTAAAGATTCCATGGTGATCACGCACTGCTAGTCTAAGATAGCTTTGCATATCATAATACCACTGGTTGGTCACTCAACACCTTCTGATGATTCGCGAACACCTATCACTGGTTGGTCACTCAACACCTTCTGATGATTCGCAATCACCTATCACTGGTTGGTCACTCAACACTTTCTGATGATTCGCGAACACCTATCACTGGTTAACCACTCAACACCTTCTACTGATTCGTGAACACCTATCACTGGTTAATCACTAAACACCTGCTGATTCGCGAACACCTTTCACTGGTTGGTCACTCAACACCTTCTGATGATTCGCGAACACCTATCACTGGTTGGTCACTCAACACCTTCTGATAATTCGCAATCACCTATCACTGGTTGGTCACTCAACACTTTCTGATGAT